TTGCCCATAATTTCTGCTTACTTTAGTCCACACTCTACCTTAATCTATCTAGGGCAAGGTGGCTTACTTTTACTGGCATGTGCATTGTTCGCAATTCAACCCGAAATGAATGTCGTCGTTCTTGCACACGCATATTTAAGAACTGCCTATTGGTATTTAAATACTGATTTTATAAGACCAAAGAAAAACGTGTTCAGAGAAGGAAATTACATTCATGAACCTGATTTCATGGACATGTGCTCAACTAAATAAGTAATTAACAACATTAGTTTGGGTAAACATAATAACATTACAATTTGGCTACTACTGTACTGTTGTCGGAAGTCAACCAAACCTTCAATTGGTTTTACGGAGGTCAATTTCATAATAATGCATCTCACTTTACCACGTGCATATTTTATATGAAAACGTTGTGGGATTATGTGTGGTAGTAATTTAAGAGCAAATCAACTTTTGGAGCGACATCCTTTTTATTTCTATGATTAAAAACCCTTGCCATTCAGCTTTTTATCTAAAAATACAAGCACCAACACCACACTCAAGCACCACACCACTCAACTTCAACTTCCCCGAAAAGACCCTTCAACCTTGTCTTCAACCTCAATCTTCTCTTTTTAACATGGGATATTAAAGAGGGGAGAAATTGAATAGCTACACAATCATACCGAAAGAGAAAATTCAAACACATGACCTCGAATACAGAATAATGAAACAAGAGCTGGATAGCAACATTGTTGCCCTAACTTAGCCAATCAATTCAATTTCTTTAAAATAAAATAAAAAACCAAGAAACATATATCTGGGGGAACACGTGCATTGCCATTGTTGATTGTTGGATAGCATGTGATTCAGAAGATTTAAGTGAAACAATCACAATTATTAATTCCCACATGTAACTTGAATATTTATATTTATCCTTGGCTAAAAATATAATGTACCAATTGCTCACATGTGATGTGGGATCATCACACTCCCCCAAAACCAGTCGAATATCCCACTTATCCACTACTAAACAAACAAAACACCCCAATATATTAAAAAGTTAAACAAATTAAAATTAAAAAAAAAATATACAAGTTCCCATAAATAAAACATAGAAAAAAGAGAAACTCAGAAGCTTGCTCTTTTCAGTGACGTCACAGTAATGGCAGCCCCCAACGGCGAAGACCCTACTTCAATCTCAAACGAGTCATACCGGAGAAAAAACTCCACCACCAAAAGCCTCGATGCCAACACCACGAAGTCTTTTCCGGCGCACTGTTTGTTCCCGACTGTCGGACTCTCGGTTTCCGGGCCGTTCGACCACAGCACGTGCTTCAACAGCTTCTCACCATCCTCACCGACAAACCGATCCGCTACAAACTCCTCCGCTCTCTTGAAAATCTTTGAATCTTTTGTTGCAAACGGTTGAAACCCGAACAGCATCTCCCCTTCCTTAACCTTAAACGCAGAGTCGTGACTCTCGATCACGAGGTCCGTCTTGGCCTTCCCGTACTGCAACGGCACGGGGGGCTCGATCCTTAGCGCTTCGTACACGACGGATTTCATCAAAGGCATTTGCTCCATACCGCCCATCGTGATTTTTCCACCGTTGGATCTGACGACGGATCGGATCTCCTCGGCCAATTGGGTGTGGAGCTTGACGCCGGCGCGGCCGATCCACTTGAGCATGTTGGGGAAGAGGATCTTCATCCCTCCGAATGAATTGAAGCACGTGGCGAATAACAGATTGTGGCACGCTTCGTCTCTCGAGACTCCCAACCGCTCCGCCTCATCAAGCACGTGACCGGACGACTGGTAGAAGAAATCGTAGAGCCTCTGGTAGTCTTTCTTGATCAGAAATGGTGGAAGCCGGAAAGTGTGGAGCAGGGGGTCTTCGATGAACTTGGGAAGGCCGAGCATCAACAGAGGGCCCAAATTGAAAAGGACCCATTTCGACACCAGCTTGGGTCCGTCGAGCCCAAGTGGGGTATCAGCCGGGTTGGCCCGGTACAGCGATCGGGCCAGGAAGTTAAACGCCGCTTGATCGTTGGCTTCGACGAAGTTGGCTTTGCCCTTGTCGGCGAGCTTGCTTTCCAGAGTTTCGAAAAGCTCCGTGTAGCTGGAGTGGAACTCGGGTAGGACGGAGTCGCGACTCGACTTGAGGAGGTAGAAGATGACACGCTTGAGCTTGTCGTGTTTGGGCTCCGACGGGTCGAGGTAGGAGAGGATTCTGTAACCTCCCGTGAGCTCTAGGGAAGGCATGTAAGTGCCGGTGAAGAGGTCTTTCTTTTCGACTTTCGAAACGTCGAAGAGCACCGGGAAGCTCTTGCCGTCGAGCAGAACGACGACTTGGGGGTTTTTAGAAATGAAGGGACCCGGCGGCATGTTGACTCTGAACACCGTTGACTGGTACTTCTGGACGCGGGACTTGAAGAACTCGTTTCTGCCCTGGTTGTAGAAATAATCGAGGCGATCCTTGATGGGACCCACGAAGGGAAGGCCATAGTCTCCGGGGATTTTCTTGACGGGGAGGTTGGTTGGCTCCGGCGGCTGTGCTGAAACAGAGGAAGGTGTTATCTCGGACACGGAGGCAGAGATTGGACGGACTAAAAAGCGACGCGTGGAGGTGGAGGATGAATTGAATGACGACGACTTTCTTGGGGATTGGAACTGTAGTTGTAGAGAAGGGAAACCCAAAGAAGAAGACGAAGCCATTGGGTATCAATGACTTTTGGGTTTGATAAAAGTTGTTATTGTTGGAGATAGAAAGAGATGTAGAGTGGGAAATTATTGGTGAAAATGTTATGGAGGATTGTTGGGTGGCCTCCTATTTATAGTGGGAAGGTGAGTGTGAAGGTGGTGGGGTACATGAAGCCTACAAGTTGTGTAGCTTCAATGGTATAGGGATCGTGGATTGTGTGCATTAAATTGTCTATGTTATACTTTGGTTTGGTCCGCGTTCCAACTTATTAGAATACAAATTGTCCCATAATCCATCACTTTAAATAATAGTAGCGTTTTGGATTGGTATCTTTGTGAGTCGTGACTAAAACTTACAGACGGTATGTACCCACAATATTCTTCATCTATTACATCTTTACATATATCTTATTTTCGAGGAATGCATAAGTCATTGCACATTATGTACGTAATAACTCTGAATCGCATGTAAAATTCATAATATATTAATTGTGAATAGTTATATTTTGTTTGGGCTAAACATTTTTAATTATTACTCTTTCGTATAATATATTCATTTGCGTAGTTATTTTGTTACTAATTGTCTTGCAGTTTGTAAAAGGGAAAACTTGCATGGAGGTATGGCAGGGAAAAAACTTGCATGGAATACGATCCCCGTTTACAAGACTAGTCTCAATGTTATACATGAGTTGTCGTTTTTTACGACGCCCATCTCAACATCTCCACTCATTTCAAAGTGGCGCGTGTTTGAAATTTTGTGCTGCACTGAACCTTGGGACTTGTTTCGAAAGGAGCGCGTGGGTCTAACACTTTTTAGTCGTCATCAAGGGCAGACCGTGGACGGAGTTTGAATGAAGCTCATTACCATGATAAAGTCATGGGTATGGAATTTTCTGTTTAAAAGTCAAAAACGGCTAAGCGTCAAAGCCTTGGACCTTTTTCCCTTCCGACCACCCCAACCTGAGGTACGTTTCTCACTGCCGGCCAAAATGCATGCGCATCTCACGTGACTTGACTTCCGTCCTCCGATCGTACCTAGATAAGTAGCAACTGTATAACGACCCTTTTATTTACCCGGACCAGTTTGGCCGCTGGGGGAAGTGTCACTACTGTGTATCTTTTGAGCTTTGCATGAAACGACAGACATACGAGGTGGAGCTTTCCCCGCCGCATGCTATTAAATGTTTTTGCACAACGTGCCTAAAAACTCTCTGATGAATTTTCAATGTTTTATTTATAATTTTGAGTCAAGGATAAATTGTAACAACACGTTCGTATACATTAGAATATTTTAGAATATTATTTTGAAAAAAAAAATGTAACAACACTCAATTCTATATATTTTTATGAAAAATTTGCATAAATGTCACCTAAAGTTTTAGGCAAGTGCGATAATACTATATGAGATTTTTATTTTTATTTGTAACCACCTGAACTTCGTAAAGTATTGCAATTCACTATTCATGTCTAACCATGTTAAAGTTTCTCTTACATTTAAGAGCATTTTTATCAATTTAGTATAACTTAAATTAATTATAAAAAAGCATAGTAAAAAAATTTAAAAAATGTTAACATGATTACACCGTACCTTCCAAAAAATAAAAAGTTAACCTAATTACACTCGCCGGCCTAGCCATGAATGAGCATGCTATGGCTAGCTATGCCTATGCATCTAAATCAAAATTAGAGCCTAAATTAAATATAATATAAATGGTAAATACCACAGGTGGTCTAAATAATGGATGAGTTTCCGATTTTTTTCTTAAATTTTGTAAAAAGATAAAAATGAGTTTTGAATCTTTAGCTCCACACGAGGGTGAGGGGAAGAATTGGCATTGGAAAAGAGCAGGGAAGGTGTGGTGCAATTGGGTTAAATTTATTTTTTCTTTTTTTAAATTATATTTTTTATAATTATTTTTAGTTATAGTGAGTTGATGGAAATGCCATTAAACTTAACGGAAACTTAAATGGAGTTTGACATAGGTGGTGGATTGCAAGACTTTACAAAGCTTAGGTGGTTAAAAATTATATTAAAAGTTTAGGTGATATTAGCACACATGCCTAAAAGTTCAGATGGTATTTGTGCAAATTTCCTTAATTTTCATTGGTTTGGTTTGGGGATTGTTTCGGCTTTTGGGTTTGATGGAATTCAAAGTTTGTGTTAAGCTATGAGCCTCTAGGTAATTATTGGGCTACCTTGTAAAAATGTTCTATGCAGCCCAACAGTATTGGGCCACCTTGCAAAAATTTATGATCCGCTAGGTGATTGTTGGGCTAAGCTGCAGCGTACGTACCTGTTCGACTGTGAGACAAGGAGGGTTTAAGCTGATTAAAACAAGAAGAAAAGCCAAGGGAGTCTCTGCTTAAACCCTAAATTCCCAAAAAATGGAGCTGCAATCAGTTTGTCGTGGGTTTCCCACCTCGAATATCGGTTTATCCAGTCACCGCATAGTCCCTCATCAACTTGTAAGCAAATTTCTGTATCATGTTCATTTCGAAATGAAAATCTATGTTTCAATCTTACTTGCATTAGCTTTTCTTGTCAAGTAATCACCGGTTTCTGTTTTGCTAAATTCCTAAGGTTTTAGCAAGCCATGCTCGGCTGAGGGATCAAAGGCTCCGTAAACATAATGGAATTGCTTCCAAATGTACGTTTAACCTTCACCTTGATCTCCATTTATTCGGCTCAGAAAATTTTATTTTTCCTTTTTCTTAGCTACCAAAACAGGGTTTTAATTTATGTTTAGAGGATATAGTTTTGCTTCTATGTTTTAACTGAAAGAAATGTTTCAGCATATTTGATGCCAGGATTGAAAAGTTTTGTGAAGGAGTCTTCAATCCTGAGCTTGAACAGAGGAGCTATTAAGTGCGCTTCGAATTCTAGTGATGCAAAGCTGGAATTTTCAGGAGGGGACAACTCTAATGTTCCTTTTAGAAGAGTTGATGGGGTGGAGCCTTTTCGTGGTAAATCGGGTTCAATTTCATTCCATGGGTTGACACACCAGTTGGTAGAGGAAGGGAAGTTGGTTTCAGCCCCTTTCGATGAAGAGAAGGGCTCGTTCCTTTGGTTTTTTGCCCCTGCTGCTTTAATTTCGTCGTTGCTTCTTCCACAATTCTTTATTGGTAATGCAATCGAGGCTTTCTTGAAGGACGAAATTATCATAGGTATTTATTGAACCATTTTTTGTTTGTTTAATTTGATTAGCTTTGCATTTTCACTGAAATGCATGACTAGGTTAAAAAATAGTATAAGTTGGTTTACTGTGCCTGCACCATATTACAACCTGTTCTTTGTTTCAGAAGCTAAATCAATAATGTTTATCATTGCTCACTGAAGATGGTCTTGTATGGTTTGTTTTCTATGATTTATAGTCAACGTCCTATTTTGTGAATGAATTGATTTAAAATAATCGGATAACTATTGTGATAAGTATGTTCTTCCTTCCAAATTCTAGCAAAGAGCCTGTCTCTGCAAATTATGTATCTATTGATGTTTATTGCGAATGAGAACTTTATGCATTTCAAATTGAAGTTTGTGGAAAACTTTAACTGTTTGGTGAAGTATCTACTTGTTTGTGCACAGAAGTAATGTGCCTTTTATTGTATGTCTTGCACTTAAATCTCTTGATTTAGTGATAGTTTTTATCTGTAAAGGAGTGTATGTGCCTGCTTTCTTATGTCTATGTTTAAATCACAAGATAAAACACACCGCTAATCACTTTGCTTGCAATGCAGAAATCGTGACTTCATTATCTTATGAGGCTGCGTTTTATGTGGGCCTTGCAATATTTCTGCTTGTAACTGACCGAGTACAGAGGCCGTATCTGCAGTTCAGTACAAAGAGGTGGGGTCTCATTACTGGCCTAAGAGGATACTTGGCATCCGCTTTCTTTACAACGGGCTTCAAGGTCATTGCCCCTCTATTTGCTGTTTATGTAACCTGGCCGTTGCTTGGCTTGCCGGCCTTGGTTTCTGTGGTTCCCTTTCTAGTTGGCTGTGTTGCTCAACTTGCATTTGAGACGGGTCTTGAAAAGCAAGGGTCATCTTGTTGGCCTCTAGTTCCCATTATTTTTGAGGTAGACATTATTCTTTGGATACATGAATGTTCTTTGTTTCAAAGCTGAATTCAAGGGTTTGAAATATTTTGAGTCTGCGTGCAGGTTTATAGACTATACCAGTTGACAAAAGCTGCTTACTTTATTGAGAAGTTGATGTATGCGATGAAGGGTATGCCTGCATCCCCGGAACTGCTAGAAAGAAGCGGTGCCCTATTTTCTATGATAGTGACCTTCCAAGTCGTCGGCGTGGTGTGCCTTTGGTCCCTGATGGCATTTCTTTTGAGGCTCTTTCCTTCCAGACCTGTGGCCGAGAAATACTGATGTTTGTATGGGATGATGCTGTATATTATAATTCTGGTTTCTTTGTTTGTCCAAGATCTGTGTAATCTTAATTTTGATAATCTTCTATCCACTGTAATTAGGATCTTGGCTTGATTAATGTGGTTGATTTGCACGCTGATTTGATGTGCCTCTTCCTTGATTGAGTTCATCAACATACAAAGATATGACATCCATCTTTTATAGAGAATAAAAGGGTTCTTAGATGATTTAATTTACAAGAGAAAATTACAGACACGACAAACAGATCATTGCTTCAGAAACAACATTAGATGATTTAATAAAGCTTTATCTTTGTGTTGGGCTATAGGATTTTTGAGGTTCCCCAGGCCCATAGCTCACTTGGGCTGTGTTTAGTGAGATTATTTTGGGCCTGACCAACCGCCAGCAAGAACAGAGACTCCCATTTTTCTCTTTCTTCTTCCCCGACTTTCTTTTCTGGTGTTGTGGTTTCCTCCGCAGTCTGCTCTGCACCTCTTTCTCGTTCTCTCTTATCCGACGATTCGAGACCGTGCATAAGGTGAAAAAGGAGAAAGTAGAACTTTGCGTTGATCTAGAGGAGCTGTACGTTATTGGAGGTAAACCGACCTTTCCCTCATTCGTTTTTACTTAGGGCAGAAAATCTCAAGCATACAACTTCCTGGTAGTTCCCTAGAGCTTTTGGTCTGCATAAAGCAACGAATATCAAAATAGTATACTGCTTCTTTAATCTAACCAGGTTCAGGGGAAAAAAGTTTAAACTTGAAGCTTCTGAGCCGTCATCCAAAGAGGTCAGTTGGAGAGATTCTTTATGGGTTCGATTTTCTTCGTTGCGGGTTTAGATGGGCTTGGTGCAATTTTTGTGTGTAGCTTTTGTATCAATTTCAATGCCTTGTTTGTTAAGTAGCTTTCTGTCATTTTCAGGGGAGGCAAGGGCCAAATGGCAAAGTCTTGCAAGGGCTTGGCAATGGAACTGGTCAAGTGTCTTAGTGAGTGCGATTGCGTTAAGGTTGAGAAGCGATCGTACAGAGAATGCGCTGGGGAGAAGAGTCCATCAATATCAAGTGAATGCATTGGTCTGAGGGAAACATATTTCAATTGCAAGAGAGGCCAGGTTGACATGAGAGCTAGGATTCGGGGGAACAAAGGCTATTGAGGAGCAGTGGTAATGTTTACCAAATCGTGAAACAAAGTTTTGTACTTTAATTGAAGATTGTGTTTACAAAATTGTGAAATAAATTTTTTAGTTCAATTGTAGCCGTATTTTTTGTACTTACGACTGATTCATTTTCCTCAATATTAATAGTTTCTTTGTAGTAACCTGCAAAATCTTGTTGAAAGTGAAGACAACTAATTAATAAAGGCCAAGAATTGTACTAGATGGTATCTATAGTTTAATCAAATGCATGTTTGGTGTATGTGCTCATCTTCATGTTCTACTTGCAATTTCAATGTTGCACTGTTGGCAAAGCCATTTTCTAATTTGTTTGTGCTGTTCTACTCTCAGATTTTTCCATCTGTAATAGTTATGTTAGAAATAACTTTCAGGATATCTAGAAATTTAGTTATGTTTAAGTCCTATAACCTATCCCCTGCTCGATGTCTAGAGAAAACGCTTTATGCAAACCTTGGCCAAGCAGATTTAGTTGGTCAAGCCATCATTCCATAATCTAGCCCCTGTTCGATGTCTGTGCACAGGTTATTGTAGTTTAAGTCCTATAACTCTGCTAGATGTATTGCTTGCATGTCTTGTTCCCCTGTGGGGAGAAATTGGATTGAGTTTTTTCTTTTAATATTTTCCAATTTTTGTACAGATTGATTTGTTTTTGAAGTATGTTGTGAAATAGAATGTAGCAATGATGATGAATCAAGACCATGTACGGAAGCATTCTCTAAGATGAGCTTTCAATTCAAGCACTTTTTGAGCCACATAAATGTAGAAGTAGGATAGTTCATGTGTCGTTATAATTGAAGTTTTCAATTTTTTCATCTTGTATAATTTTTTTGTTTCAAGTCTCGAGTGCCTATTTGAGAATGTTAGGCAGTAATGTTTGAGATTCTGTGTGATTGGATTTGAATAAGTTTGGACCTGAACTTTGGTGACTGAGTTTCTTTGTTTGTTTGGTTTCCTGCCTTTTCCCTTAGCAAGAGAATAGTGGGTATTAGTTATCATTTAGTTTGACCAAGGATGATGTAAATCCTGTGAATCATCTTTTTCAAAATTAGAGTTATTGAAGTACTTTTCTTCTCTTATGGGTGCATAAAAAAGTGCCTAGCTCAAAACCATGGGCTGTATAGTTCTTGTTCAAGTTCAATGCTTCACAAGGGGTGCATAACCAGATTGTAACTTGTTTCAGGCTTCTTGTGGGCTTTGAATATATTGACCAATGGTGGTGTGTTAGAGCAGGGACCATTGCTAGGATGTTGATGGGTTCTTGTCTCATTCATGGGGTCCTTTGGGGGGTTATGCATGGTTGCCCCTCCTCCTCTCTGTTCTTTTCTCTTTCCTTTTTGTGTTTCGACTGTTACGAATGCATTGTGGAGTAAAGACAGCTGCATTGAAGTTGATTTGTATACATCTCTAGTTTCTGCTATTTGTAGTCTTTGTAGATGAGTTTGTGAGGTAATGTTTGGAGATCATGTAAGAGGAATTGAGTTTTCATTGGTTGTGAACATTTAATTTGAGGAAAAAACAATCAGTTCCTTACTAAACCATTGATTTTGGTCTTAAGCAGGATTTAAGCTATAGTTATTGGGAATTTTTATTCTAGTTATGATCTGTAAGCCAATAAAATGAGGCATGACATAGGAGGCACAAGATAGAAGAAGAAGGAAGGTAATTTCGTGGCAGGTTTCATGAGGCGCAGAGTCTTGCTACGCAACCCATCTCTTGGTCGTTGGTTTGGTGTCTCTCTCTAGTTCTAGGCATATGCTGCTTGTTGAGCATATGTATGCAAGATCTCTCTCCGTTGCTTTGGCTTCGCTGAGGTACAACAACAGCGACTATACACGACATCCTCGTTTGTCGTTTTGCACGCCTGATGTGCCGACCATTCTTCCATCCTTGTGAAAAAAACAAACCCAAAAGCCCAAATCCAAGCTTCGTAAGATCGAAACCACAAGCAAATGAAAACGTCAGAAATCTCTGACTTTGTTTCCAAAGTTCCAAAATTCCAAGCCGTCGAGGGAGAAAATCCTCGTTCGTAATTCCCAAGCAAGAGAAATATACCACGAAAACACATGGTTGACACGTGTTCGATACTCTCAATTGGGAGGGTGGAGCCCACACGCAGACCACGTGAGGGCAAGAGTCATCAGGCTTTGGTTTGGTTTTGGTTTTGGTTCGTCCAAGTGTTGGGAATAATTCAAACTTCAAAGCCAACCTCTCCAAGCAGAAGGCAAAAAGCGAGAAGCTCAGCCATACCAGGACAAACCACAGCTAAGATGCTGCGAATCTTCTGTTTTCCCCACACCACACCTCACTGCAAACTTATATATAAACCCACCAAACCCAACCAGTAAGTTAATTGGTATCGTCAAAAGGGAGCAATGGCAGCCACTAGACTATTGCGCACGTTTAAGCCTATGACTATTCATTCTTCTTCTTCTTCTTCTTTTTTGCCGCCGAAGACGCTGCGGTGTTCGAGCAAGGCTGGAAGCTTAAGCGGAGAGAAGAGACTTGGTGGGAAGAATGATAATCACGAGAGAAAGCAAATGATGGTTGTCAAGGCCTCAATGGCCACTTCAGACACAATGAGCATCACTTTGAAGCCACAAGTGAATCGGGGTAGGCTCGCAGAATTGGTTTCCCTGCTTATAAAGACTAACCGTGCTTTGCTCATTCTTTTGAGAACGGCCCTCAAGCCAAAACCTTCGAGACAGCAGGTCCAGATGTTCATTGAAAGGGTGAGTAGGCATGTTAATTTCAGCCCAATTAATGCTTTCTTTTTTGGTTGAAAAATTTGAATGCTAGTTTTAGCTTTGAGATTCTCTAACTTCCATGCATGTTCTTCTTAATTTGTCAAAAGTTGTTCATTAATATTATGTAGTAAGTTGGTGTTTGAAACAGAATTAAGCATGTCTGATTAAGTTTAAGTTGAATGAGTTGAGTTCTAATAAAAATATTACTTCATTTGTGCAGGGGATAATAGACTGTCGATTCTTTACATTACTTGCAGTTTCGGGATCCTTACTTGGCTCAGTTTTGTGCTTTGTAGAGGTAACATTTTCTTTTTCCTCCTACCTTATTCACCATCTTTGGCAATAGCAATTAATAATTATTAGAACAAAACCAATTAATTGTATCTATTTTCTATCTAATTTCTAGCCTAAATGCAGGGTTGTTTTATGGTTCTAGAGTCATATTTCCAGTATTTCCATGCCTTGTCACACAAGACGGATCAAGGACATATGGTGCATCTACTTATTGAAGCCATTGGTAACTGCTCTCGCTCTCTCAGCTCTCTCAGCTCTCTCTCAGCTCACTATATCTACCCTACCCTAACCTACCCAAAAACTAATAATTCATGTTTTTTCATTCTTTCTACAGACATGTTCCTGGTAGGAACCGCCATGCTTATTTTCGGGGTTGGGTTGTACGCCATGTTCGTGGGATCAAAGGCCGTGAAAGAAAAAGGACCGAGGTTTTCAGAGTCAAACTTTTTCGGTCTCTTCTATATGAAGGTACCTTTCACTCCCTTTTTACAAATTACAGAAATATCTTCTAAATAATATTTGTATTTTTTTCCAACAAGACAACATAGATTATGGAGTTTTAGAGTACTTTAATTTCTAATTCATGTTTGAATTATAATTTCCAGGCACCTCCAGCCTGGGTTGACATGAAATCGGTTTCGCAAGCAAAGTCGAAAATAGGGCATGCAGTGGTGATGATACTTCAAGTGGGATTGTTGGACAAGTTCAAGAGTATACCTCTGGTTACTCCACTGGATCTCGCTTGCTTTGCTGGAGCTGTGCTTCTTTCCTCTGCTGGTACCTTCATCCTCGCCAGACTCTCCACCACCTCCGGGGCTTTTGCTGGTGTACAACATGGAACATAGATCATACAACTAACTCATCAAAATTAATGCTCAAAAGTTCATCATAACAGTCAACATACGGTCCAGTTGGTTTATATTAAATTCATTTATAACCCATTCTTTTTGTAGTATACACCTACTCAATACCAATACCTACGTAGCGTAGTCAAGTCAGATCATTATATACTTCACTCAAAGGGAAGAATGCCTTAAATCCCTCTCTATACTATAGATGTTGTAATCCAACCACGATTAAAGTACAAGGTTGATGGTTATACAAGTATTCATTTATTATTCATTTGTCAATCTTCCCTTGTTCGGATCAATTGTACTTTGATTCTTTACATATATAAATATCGGACTAGCCTAGGTACTTTGATAGCTCAGAAAAAAATTGTTGTTCTAGGAACGAAAAAAGATTTACAGAAACTGAAAAGAGAACAACGTTAAGAGCTAAACTTGGAGAACAGAGTGCACCTCCTGTTTCATTTTTGGAGAGCAATATCTGCCCAGAAAAGAAAATGGAACTCACATTCGATTCGAGTTTATAAGGCGGGATTTCCTCGCTCGTTTCACCTACGATGCTTTACATTTCTACATTTAAATCCTTGGTCATTGGTGTGCAATTTAAATCTTCATTTTTTCATCTTCGTTGAGGTCGATTTTCATATGGTTATGTCACTTTATGTACTTTGTTAAACCTGGGCTTGTATCTATGTTAACAATTTTTTGCACATGTATGCTTGTAATCAAATTTATGGCATTTCATCAATGTAATGCTTCACTGATTTTAGTGAAATAATTTAGATTGGACGCTAAAATAAAATCCCACGTAAACAGAACAGATTATAGCCAACAAGAGCTTTAAATTTGTACCAACTACAAGTTCCCTCTTCTTTGATTAGAACTCATCAGGCACACGAAGGGTCTGAACACATCTCACACATAACATAAGGGCTTATCTCTGACAGGCCATTTTCCAACGCTCTAAACGGAAGTCATGGAAACTTTCCAATGGGGCCTCAGCCGAGACAAACTGCCGCAGGTCGTTTTCTGCACGTGTGAAGCCTATCCAGGCTTAACTCTGCGTCGCCTTGCAAGTGCTCAAATAGAAATGTGGATGGCAGTTAAAAGAACAAGAACGAATGATGGTAGCAACAAGTGTTTTTTTCAAGAAGCTTTTCTGTTCCCTCAGAAATTCTGTTTCATGCACCAGATACAAGAGCCTTTTCTTTTCAAGAAACTATATATCCCACGTACCTTACAAAATAACCAATTTTGCGCAAAAGTTCCTTTTCTTGGATTAGACCTCGCCATACACTGGCGACTGTGAAGAACACATCACACACATGGTGGCAGAACCATCATTGACATGGGTACAGATATAACAAGACCAATAATCCCCATAAGAGCTTATCTCCGGTAGGTCATTCTCCATCGCTCTCACCAAGTTCTTGAAGTAATTTCCAATCAAAACAGTCAGTTGGACTAGCTTTGTTCGAAATTCAATGAAATCTTCAATGGGTTTATTGGCATTGATATGATCTTCTAGTTCCACTTCTGCACAATGATGGAGCTTTTCCAAGCCAGACTCTGCCTCACCTTGCAAGTACTCAAAAAACTGCCTCTTACCATGCTCATGCTTAGGGATATAGTACCCATATGCATAGCTCCATTTCAGCACCCGCCGGCATTCGATTATCTTCTGCCAGGCCTCTGTTATGAAACTGAGAATCGGATTAGTTTGCCTGTATTTCCGATCGAGCTTCTTTAAATGAACATCTTGCACAAGCTGAAAATCTACAAGAGCTTTTTTCCTAGACTCGTGGTTAGCTACCCAACGCTCATAATAATGAATGTATCTGTCCAAATTCAACTTCGCCACCTTTTTCCTTTTATCACTCTCATTCTTCACCCCCTGCAGGTACGAGTTACAAGAATGGCTACCGCCCCATGGTCCGAGGCATATCCAGCAAAATTCAAACTTACAAGGCGCCCTGCATCTCATATGGCTACATCCTTGGTTTTTCTCAATGGGTCGCTTGCACTCTGGACAAGGCTTGGTGTTTACAATAATCCAATTCGTATTTTCAGACTCATCCTTATGCTTCAACATCCACTTTGCCACAGTATCGCATTTCACCGGACTGTGAGCTTCCTCGTTACAATTCCAACAAAATATATATGAGCAGAGGCAAGAAACATCACAAGCTCCTCCACTGCCATCAACATAATCCACAAAATCCACAGCATGGTCACAACCAGGAGCAGGGCACCACTTTATCTTCCTCTTCCTGTAACTGTCTTCCACATAAGACCTCAGCAGGTACCTCAAATACTTGTCCTTGTCGGCACTCTCTGCTACCAACACAAAGATCATGTCTTCACCAACAGCAGCACCACAACATGGATGAGGACATTTCAGAGACAAGCATCCCAGGCCATCGTTGGCAATTGATTTGCTAATATAACCAACCCAACATGCTCTACAATAGAAATGATCACAAAAGGTGGAGCTAATTCTTTGATCATCGAAATCATCGCCACCAGGAAACGTTTCAAAGCAAATTTCACAAGTAAATGAACCATCAGTAGAGAATTGATCAACAGGTGGGTTCTTAAACAAACCCACCGTGATTCGAACCTCGTCCTCCTCATCAAACCAGTTGTCGAACAGCTTGCTGACATTCCAATTACAGTGGCGTAGCAAGATGATCGCGGCGGATCTTGACACAGACAGTGTGGAGCACACCTCTGTAATGTCATGAAGCTGGCGTTGACTGATATCTGCTTCTTTCAAGACTCTGTACGGAAGATGTTGCAAGGGCGTTTGATCTTCTTCTCTCAAAAACCTATTCAAATGGTGATTAGATTCCATGTTTGGCATCATTGACTTGCTCAAACCCTCCCGGAAATGTCTGTGCAGGACTAGGGTTTTCTGGACTTCTGGGTGCGTGGAGATGACGCCAACAACTGAAGAAAAGCAAGACTCCATGGACGAAAGAAAGACTTGAGGTTTGGTTCTATTAACTTGCTCATTGACCTGATAATACAAGAAGACTCACTTTTACAAAAGTTGTTTAGTCAGCAAAGCATATGAAAATGCATAACCTTTTTCTTTTTGGGGTTTCTTTCCTGCACGAAACCAGTTTTATAATAAGTCTTTTTGGGGTTTTTTTCTTCTTCCTCAGCTCTTTCATTGTTGTGGCTTGCATTGTATTGTTCTTATATTATTTCAGGCCTGACACCGCTGCAACTTCAGAGCCATTTTAAGAATACTTATGATTCTTCACATCGTTTCAACCAGATACTAAATTATGGTAATAAATTAATAATTGAGTTTTAACAAGATGCTTAAGGATCATTTAATTCAACCACCATTAATTTTTGGCCCAGGCCCATGATGCCATCCGCATTTCTGTGAATGCGAAATTCTGTAGTAAGGGTGTCATATATAGATCCCTCATGTAGACCTTCATATTAGCCATATAATAATTTCATTAAACTTAAGTGAAGTTACTATTCAGATAAATCCTGTGGCTAATTGAAGGTCTACATCTATGGTCCGTATATGGCACCCTCACCATAGAACGGCTATGAGCCAGCCAGGACACAAGACAATAAATAAATAGTGCGAACATCAAATATATTTAACGGTATATTGTTTATTCGCCTATATCGACAAAAAGACACTTAAAAACTCTACAATTTTAATAAATCAAATTATGGGAAAATGTTTCCGGAAAAGAGGAGAAAGATTACAGCAAGCTAAAAATACAACCCACAAAAGAAGCTATCAAGATTATACAAGACAAACTCTCACTTTACATGGAAGCCAAAAGATCTCTCATTTCTACTACAGTTGGAATGGTCTCCGTCGGGTAAATCTTGGCAACGAGTTGAGCAAAACTTTCATACTTGTCAAGGAACTCCTTCTGCCAAAATCCACAGCATCCATAAGATATTTTCAATAAGAACATGCTTTCTTTATTTTGTATGTGGCGTTTAACAAATAGGCAAGACTGAATCCAAAACATCTCTCCGTGTAATTATAGAGCAGCAAGATTGAGAACTTTATTTCCCTTTATCATTGGTTAAAGGTCAGGCTTTGCATATGATATAAGAGTCTGCAACCATGGAACCCTAACATGTTTACAAAGAAACTATCCAACATACCTTGCATTTATCCCATAAGGATGGCAACAGTTCTTCAGAAGTCATGTTTTTCTGCAACTTCTTGTACATTGCAGTGATGGACTTGTCAAGCTGTATCAGGAAAGCCAAGATACTGTCAGCAATGAAAATGCGAGACCAAGTTATTTTGGAAAATTTACCAACTCACCCCAGATAAACTTGATTTTAACATCTTCCGCAGATCCATCTTTGCCAACCCAAGCTGGAAAGGGATCTGAAATTTGTGAAAGAAGTTGATATCAGCCATAACATCCAGCAAGTTAAGACTCTAATTTTTTTTTTTTTATAAGACTTCTGAAATAAATAAATAAAAAACTCTGCAGAAATGGTCCTAGCAACAACACAGATACCAGCCAAACACTACATTCTCAGAATGGGACTGGATACTCTTGGTGGAATATACAGATGCCCAAAGCAATGGATATAGTTACAGAATATCTAGCAGTGTGACATAATTAATGAGGTTTTCTTTTTCAAAGTTAGATCAGATATGGACACTTGAGATGCATCTCAGCCGCTTGTATTAATTTAACTACTGAGGACAACATTTAAGGACCGCCAACACACTAACCTCTTCTGGTGGAATTGTATACATCAAATCCTCTATTCTTCGAGCAAACTGGAAAAGACGTTCAAATTGCTGCCAAAAGAAAACACAATAAGGGTACGTGCCACCAAAAATATTCTGTCCAAGAAGTATTTCAGGCTTATACTATACATCTATGCCAAAAAATGGCTGATTCAAGACCAGCTAGATGCCTCTGTGAAAATTTCAGTGTCTAAATGAAAATTATAGCACGTTAGCTTTCACCCGCGAAGAGTAGTTTAGCAATTTCAGTGTCTTTATCTTTCATAAAGATTCAGTTTTGTCTACTTGTTCACAACGAGTAACTTGGAATGATATAAGATTCTAAAATAGATCTGCCCAAAATTGCAGCGTCCATATGAGAAGAAAAACTTATATAAGATTCGGCATCTGGATAACTTACATAGTATATGATCATGCTGATATGGCGTGTGCAAGCTTGTTCATAAGCTTCACTCGCCTGGTGATAAAATTTGGCCAACGTGGGCACAACATTTGCTAGGTCATACAAACTGCAAGCAAACTGCTTCTAATCAGAATGAAGTCGACCAACAAAGAAATAACATTGACAATGGTAGAAAGGAAAAAGAAGAGTACCTATTCTGAAATGCAGCATAGTTCTCTAATAGAAAAAGATCAGCATATTTTGGCTCTGTTTGTGCAATTTTCTCCAAAGTCACAAACATTATGCTAACCTGTCAAACAATTGATCTTATGTAAGAAAATGTTAACAATAATTATGCTGTGTGCCCATTGCAGCATGGTTCTACTTAATTCAATATGGCTATGTGCAAACAACTCGCTTTGTATATCACAATATCTGATAACATTCTGCAGATAACACGAATATGTTTCCAGAGAAAGAAAA